AAAATCAATATGGGGCTATATTAAGTTCTGACTTTGGCTAAGTCACTGGTGTCAATAATGTCACGGCCCGCAAAAGAAGCAGGGTTACACACGAGCCCGGACAGCGTACAGGTAGAGGAGGTAATATTGGAGATTACAAATGATTATGACACTATTTTATATCATTCCATGCGAAGTAATGTCTACAGTAGAACATGTATGATGAATCAAGGGTATACAATATAGTATTGACCTTCTCTATCACTGGTTGGAGGAGTGGAATTTTTTTTCCCTTCCTTTCAAAAATACTGGTTGCAAACATTGCCTTGAGATTGCAATGGACATCATATTGTCTGAGAAATTGGCCAAACTAATTTATGCGCAATATATTTTAACATTCACTCCTTGAAGAAAGCACTATAATCTTTTTTGGATTTTCTAAGATGTAGGAAACTAATAACACAAATATATATATATATACATATATATGTATTTTTAACCCCTATTTGAAAAATATAATAAAATAAGCCTTTACCAAATGATTGAGATGAAGTTTGATGGTAAAGTGCCTAAAAACAAGTGAGATGTCCTAATGAGGTATATTTCAGTTCCAAGCATGATTCAAGTAGATATATTGTATCTAAATGGTTGAGGTTAAAAGGGCACATCATTAGTAGGGTAAAACTAACCTGTCTCACGACGGTCTAAACCCAGCTCACATTCCTAATTAGTGGGTGAACAATCCAACTCTTGGTGAATTCTGCTTCACAATGACAGAAACAAGAAAAGTGTTTGCATCTTGGACATATTTAATCTTCATGGGACAATACCTGGTCCTAAAGTAAGAAAGTCACAAACTAAGAAATTCCTTTGGCTCTTGGTACAAAAAAGTTATAAAAGTATAAGTAAGGGGTAATGTATAGAACGCAGGTCTAAAAAAATATATGTATCATAAAAACGTTGCTTTCTTACATTTATCTGGTTTAGAAGAACCCACAAACTTGGGTTTTTGATGAGGAACAATGTTATACCAAAGTTTAAAATCTAAAAAAAGCTGTGAATAATAATTCTTCTTTAAAGTCTGCCTCCGCGTCAGGCCTGTGTTTAGAAATATTGTTGAAACTGCGGATTTATTGTGCTGTTGGCTGCTGTGATTGAAACAGACAACACATGCATAGTTCCACAAGAATATGTCTCTCTGAAAAGACTGGATAGTTTGTTCTGTGCAGAGGACAGTCTATTATCTAAATAATTGCAGACTGCAGCGAGTTTATATCTGCGCCAACTCAATTTTGGATGTGATGGTAACATATTGAATCGAGATGCTGGCATCTTGTGAGTCAAATGCTTGGCTCTTTAATTTGACTAACCATTATTCACACTTTCACACCATTGAGGGAGAAAATGGACTATTCTGTTTTGAATGAAATTTGTTTTGTTCCGAGACAAAATGAAATAATATCCCAATTCTCTTCAACCAATGTCATATGGCTTAGAACCCTATTGTAACTTATTTTGTTGTAAGTTTAGTGTTGTCCTGATTATTTGGCACCATTATGACTACGATCATTCTCCTGACCTCGAGGCAGGATTGTGGGAGCAGAATGTTTAGCCTATTGTGCTTACGTGTGAGAATTGTGACATGCAGCTTTGGAGTTGAAATTGTGGCGCTGCACAAATTTGCAAATACAATCAAATTGTGATATTTCTGACCAGCAATGCAATTTTGGAGGTTTTTTATCCGATATTTTTAGTAAAAATAAACACTTTGAGAGAGGTTCATTTGAAAAAGTCTCAAAATTAAGCGAATGCACTACCTAATATTGTTTTATTAGGAATACAACAATTGTGGTACATAACATAAAAAAGACATTTCCTAACCCTAATCAAAGTGAAATGTATTTTATGTATTTTTCTCCTTCACTTACACTCCTGCTCCCGAGGCACTGGAGAAACAATGACATATCATGATAGCTGATCTGTTATTAGTTTTATTCCAAAGTCATTATAACAAAAACGGCAATGACTACCTTCTAGTTTGGTATCAGGATATATCGCATTGTATCATATTGTAATTTATGTATCGTGACCTATGTATCGTGATCTATGTATCGTGACCGATGTATCGTGACCTAAGTATCGTGACCTAAGTATCGTGACCTATGTAACGTGACCTATGTATCGTGACCGATGTATCGGGATCTATGTATCGTGATCTATGTATCGTGACCGATGTATCGTGATCTATGTATCGTGACCTATGTATCGTGATCTATGTATCGTGACCTATGTATCGTGGTAAAATTCAAGGCAAAGCACTCCCCTAATTCCCCACACTTTTCAGAACACGTATATTGAGTTCTAACCTATTGTACAATCATTTTTTTCATTAAAAAAATATTGTTCTGCAAAAAGTGTGTTTTCCCAAATTTAAGTGATTCTGTTGTATCTTTTTTTGTTTGAAAAGAACTTTCATTATTGTAGTCTTTTTATCTTATTGCGACCACAAAAACTTAAATTTTGATTTGGTTGCGATTGATGGTTATCGGAGTGACATTATTTTTGTGCCATGTTCATTTTCTCTAATACACTCTCCTTTTTTCTCAACAAATGACAATGCTGTACTCCCTAAGGCAGGGGTGGCCAACCATTCAGAGACTAAGAGCCAATTTTTTTACTGTATTACAGCAAAGAGCCACATCATACAAATGTGCACTACATAAACATCACCCCAACCCTTACACACGCACGCACACACGCACGCACACACGCACGTACGCACTCGAGCAGACACGCGCACACACATGCAATCTGTCTGAGCAGAGAGAGGTGTGCTCTGCTCAGACAGATGTATTGTAAATGTCATCAACATGATAATGACAGAAATTGACTCGTACAGTACTAAAGGGCTGGACTCGACTCTCCCTGGTTTGCGGGCGCTTCCACCGCTCGCTTCAGCCGCTCCCCGGTACTTTTTATTGATGGTTCGGCCCTGGTTCTAACCGGGCGAGTCGATACCATAACAATCTCACGTCAGCGAACATCAATTATGATTCCGAAATGAATGCTTTCAATCTCTAACCAAGAAAAAAAAAATCGAGTTTCAACCCAGTGTTCAGCAGAAACACAACTGTCTTTATCGAACCATGATTCACTCTCTGACTGTATTTAGTAAAAGATATAAATTTGACACATAACACCAACACCACGTTAGCTGATTTAGAACCACAGACACATGCTCAGTATAAGACCAGATACTTTTGCATTTGATTGAAGACAGACACTCACCAGGCAGAGTTGGCTTTTCTCCTGGTGTAATGCTAGCTGTTGTTAGCTGGTTTTAGCATGTTAGCCGGTGTTCGTCGATGTCCGTAAATTTAATCCATTTGGTCAAACCACCTCCAGACTTTTCGGGTCTGCCTCTACTTCTGCTGCTGTGATCTTTCATTTCACGGTTGTCACTTTTAAGCTTTTTAACTTTTCTCTGCGTTGTGATGTTCGTGGGAATCCTTCTGCTCCGTCCTTAGAGCTAGCTCCACAAACACCTTCTGGTTTCTGGTGGAACCAGCGAGATCAGGCTGGTGTCCTCTCCTCAAACTGAGGAAGGTGTTGCCCTCATCCAGCGACCAAGGAGCTGTTTTCCGTACGGACGCCATGGGTCGAGGCAACGTGTTGTTTGTTATGATATTTGCAACAGCTGAGGCAGCAGCTGCAGAGTGACTGACCAATCAGAATTGACGTTCGCCGACGTCAGATTGTTTTGGTGGCCTGGCTAGTGGAGTGAAGTCGGCCTTTACTATGGGTCAGAACTACATAGAGAATGAATGGCAGCGCCACCACCGAGGCGTTTTTGACGCTTGTCATGTGAAAGCCCAAGAGCCGCACGGAACCAGCCAAAGAGCCGCATGCGGCTCACGAGCCGCGGGTTGGCCACCCCTGCCCTAAGGCGTCAAAGTGGTCAGAAATAGGGATAACTGGGACAAATCAATGGTTCTTTTGGAAATATCTGCTGGGACACGAGATACAGGGCTCCAAAATGGAACTGTCCCAGGTAATTACGGATGTCTGGTCACCGCATATTCAGTGAGAGTGATTCTAGAGACACAGAATGACAACCTCCACATAAAATGGGGAAAAAACTGATAAAATGACCTCCTTACAACTGTGAAGAGTGAACCCCGATTGTGTCATGATTAGATGTATCCTCTCCAAACTGTGGTACAAAGTAGGGTCGCAAAGGAGTGGAACATTTCTGGTATTATTCCAGAAAGGTTCCAGGTAGTTTCCATGAGGAGATAAGATGGTGAATTTGAGAAAATAATGCGTATTTTGAAAAAATATATATTAAACACCTTCCCCTCCAAACATCCCACATTAAACATGATAGCCTTTTTCATTTTTTTTTAAATTTAAACATTTAATCAATGATTGAGAAATGACATGAATGAAAAATTGTTTGCTTTACTCTATAGAAAAATAAACTTTACTCAACTATATTTATGTTCCTCATAAAGAGCCAAACTTCAATTCAGAAAATGCTTTGTTTATTCCTGTTTATTCCCATAAATTTCATTTTTTCCCCCCGTTAATTCCCATTTATTCCCTCACATGCTCATTAACTCCCATGGAAAGTTTCCATCTTTAAAAAATCCTGTATTTTCGCAACCCTCGTACAAAGGTACATTTGTAAATCTGCTTGCAAAATGTGTCCCCCATAAAGGACTTTGAACACATCAGACAAAAGAACATTCACTTTGTTTGCAGCATCCAACAGAATCACATTAGCAACAGCTGAAGTCATTTATTACCGCTGTTTTTGTTTTGGGTCTACCAAATACAAGCTGAGCAGCTCTAATGAACAGAACAAGCGATCGCGCCTTTTTCAATTCTACAACATTTCCCACAATGCACTAATTAGACTCACTACTTAAAATCTGCTTTGGGTAATTTTGTTCAGCATTGTGCTTCCGGCTCTAATGTATTCACGCAGCTCTTCTCACAAAGCTCTGGTGTTTTTGCAGATGTGGATGAGTGTGCCACTGAGTATAATGGAGGCTGTGTTCACGAGTGCATCAACATCCCTGGCAACTACAGGTGCACGTGTTACGACGGCTTTCGGCTGGCGCACGACGGCCACAACTGTCTGGGTGAGTGCAGCTTTTTCATGTTACTGATACTGAGTTTCAGATTCCTGTTTCATTTTGGTTGTGTTTGAATGTCCAGACTCGTTTCTACTCAGGGCATTGTACAAAAGTGTTTAAACTGCTTTCTTTTCCGTAATTCAACACATGTGAAATTGACCTTGGATAAAACTTATTTCATGCAACATAACATAACACGTCACATGCCACTTAGTTTGTTATCATTTGGATAACAGTTCATTTTCAGAATATTAAAATGACAGACAGACCTGTATGCATTGAGTGACTCGAGTGATTGTATGTATTTTTTAGTAAATGTTTGATAGTTTCCTGTGTAGTGGGATTGATTTTACTGAATATCTATGTACGTTTCAGATTTTTACATTTTCCTGTACTTTATTAAGTGTAACATGAACCTGCCCAGGGACAATGGGTGGAAATTAGCATCTCAGAATCAGAATCAGAACCCTTTTATTGCCATGTGAGTAACAAGAAGTCACAAACTAGGAAATTGATTTGGCTCTTGGTGCAAACAAGTTAAAGCGGAATAAAATTAAAAAAGCATGCATACATAAAAATCTACATAAATGTCTTCAGTTTTCTATGAAGTTTAATATAACCTGGCTCATGGCATCTCTTCTGTCATAGACTAATGTCAGTTGTTCATTGTCCCTGATCAAATAAATAAATAAATCCAGCGATTCCAAGGTTTGCTGTTTAGCTGCAGGTTCATGGTTAGCAATGTCAATAATCATGTGAGATCCATCTTGGCCTGCACTTTTTGGGTTAAACCACTACAAAAGAAACTCTGTGATAAATCCATCTCAACCATCTAGTTCTTTAGTCCCTAGTTTTCACATGCATGTAGGTTTGACCCCTGTCACATCTTCAGCTTTTACAGACAGAAAAGTGGAATATACTATTGTAAAAGTTGTTCAATATATTTCAGAACCCTTCTAAATACTGTAGTAGTTCATAAACACTTGAATGCCATCTTGATTTTCTCAGTATTTACCGGAGAAATCCAGTTTACAAACTATAATCGCAATCACTCTAATCGCACAATGTCGCCCACACATGAAGTGCAGCTTTAGAATGAATGAGGTGCTAAGTGGACAATCTGATGCATACCATTCAAAAGTTATCATACTTAGTCGGAATTGCTGATCACTATGACAACGGTCTTTACACTGAATCATATCTCCAGTATATTGTTGGGAAAATAAAATCATATCTTCATACCATACTGTTTTCACTCATGTTTTACCTTCCAACTATCTTTGTCAAAATGTTTATGTTTTGCAACTTTAGAGAAGATAGAAAGCCACATCTATTACCCCTAGAATTGTCATGTTTAAGTTGAATGTAGGTTGCACTGCGTATCAAAATACAAATAGGCTAATACTAATGTTTCCACGGAATAAAGCAGGATCAGGTCCCAAGTGAGTCTGTTTTGTGCCGATGCAAGCCCAGGAAGGATGCTTATTTTATATATTTTTTTCAGTGCAATAAAACACTGATAAAACAGTATTATTTGGATTTAAAGTAACATGGTGAAGGCTCAAGAATGAACAAAGCTAAAGTTATGATCTTCAGGCTCAGACAGAAACTTGTCTCTATCCTGTAAGATTAATATGGCAGGCTTTTGATGGATCTTTCTTACTAGAAGTGTGGAGCTGCCTATAGCGCTTATGAAGTGGATTGTACAATTGTCAGTTAACCTATGCTATCCTATGCTTGTTTGAATTGATATGGCATTATGGTGTGTAAATATGATTTTTTTTTTATCATAGCCTGGAGCTTTAAGACTTGTTCCTGTCCTGCTTTTTAGGCTGACCAAGTTTAATTGTGACAATGTTTTACTAAATGTGATGGAATTTCAAAACTATTTTTGGAAGGCTGTACTTTTGCTTGCTCTCATTCAAACACTGGTTTTAGCTCATGCTTTTCTATTGACATTTTGTTTTGTTGCTTGAAAAAAAATCCATCTCTTTTAGACATTCAATAATAAAGAAAAACAAGTAGAGGGGGCAAAACTCTAATCCAGCTTTATTTGGTGCTGGTTGTGATGTCACAGCCTACCACTGTTCTGTAATATTTGTAAAGTTTTATTTCAGTATACCTTGTCTAACTATGTCTAACAAAACATGCAAGTACTTGTAAGTTTTTTACACTGAGGGTGTACTTCACCACAATGGTCTGAGATATGAACCTTGGTGCGGGGCCTTTCTCCTTGGAGTTTGCATGCTCTCTCTGTGTCTCGCATTGGTTTCCTGTTCCACTAAAACATGTGCAGTAGGATGAGTTTGGTGAGTGAATGATTGGTGGTGGCCAGACGGTCTGATGACGCCTCCTGTGCGAAGGCGACTTCAATTCCATCACCCTGTGTGGAGTGAATGGAAAATTGTAAAGACCTTTGAGGCTCTGTGAAAAGCAATCTATACCAGGGGTCTCCAACCTTTTTTACCCAAAGAACTACTTTCTCTGACCTAGAATGACAGAGAGCACCTTTAAGTGTCCAGCAGGTCTCTTTAATGGCAGAGCTTAGCCTTTGCACTTTCACTGCTAACCATAGTCATTACTTAAAACCTATTACAACATCTGTTTGCATTTGCAATAAGTGTGGGCATGAGAATCATACTATTTGGAATATGTGTATTAGGGCTGTAAATAGCAGTTATTTTGATAATCTATTTGTTGGTTTTTATCATTAAATTCTGTCATTACAGAATTATTTGTCGTAAAACTTCTCAGTATGTTTAAGTCTATGCAAGGTTCAAAAGTCATTCACCTTGAGAAACTATATAGAATACTATAATACTGATCTCAAGGTTGGGGTTGGGATGTTTTATAGTAATTTCTTATTTTTTCTTGATAATTGACAATATTCTTGCATAGTAGCAGTTATGTTTGGTAGAGGAGAGTCAGGGTGCTACAAATATGGCTAGTGCTAAGAACAGAAACAACTATAGCAGTGCAATGAGAGAATAGACTTAGACTTAGACAGACTTTATCGATACACAAGGGAAATTGTGTTGTCACAGTAGCTTACATTGTATTCCACAATAAAAATAACAATCAAGTAACAATCTGAAGTTAAGAATAATTATACAATAATATTGTGAGAATAGAATAATCTGGATATAGGTACTCGGGAATATACATATCTGTAAAGACAGTATGTACACATTTACAGTATAAAATACAGAGATAAAAGAATACTACACATCTGTTAATATTGGTTTATTGAGATCACAGAGAGGAGAGGCTGAGGAGTCTGATGGTTCTGTTGCGGTGGTGAAAACAAGAGATTGTCCAATTGTCCGCATTCTGTTCCTTACACAGACACAGTTTCCTGGTCACACCCTGTTTGCTGTGTCTGAATATCCAACAGGTGCAAGCATGTTTCAAAAATAAGGTTTTGATCCCCTGATGCATTCACTCGCGCCGCTGTAGAGGTGAAAAAGTAGGTCACTCAAAATGGACTATAATACATCTTGAAAGTATGATGTGCAGTGTTGGTCAATAACCACAGCACTTTGCCAGAGTGGGAAAAACAGCAGCAGAGAAACACTGGTCCTTAACTAGACACAACACAATTGAAAGATGATAGAAGAGCTGTTTTGACGCTCTGTTGACCCCAGATAAGTCTTAAATACATCTCCAGCTTTATTGAGTGAGAGTGCAACTGACGCATGTCTCACGTGTATTTATGTATGTTTACATATACACAGGACTAGGCATGCTGTGTGTATGTGTATGTATGTGTATACGTATGAAGTTATGTGTGACCCTCGCAGCCCCCTTCCCTTGCTTCAATTGTGTTGTATATGTGAAATGTATCTGGCCAAAGGTATATGTGCCCATAAGGATTCTGTGTATTTCTTCTATTTACGTACATCTTAAATACAAGGTTATGCAGCCTATAAGCTGAAGTGCCTATCTTAAAAAAATAAAAAATAAAAATAAAAATAAAAAAACCTACGTAACTAGTCACTGGGTCTCAAAACTGTTTGTTTCGATCAACAATTTACACATGAAGCTGAAAATTAGAATGGTCCTTATTGACCAGATGCATCAACGTCATCCATTCACGTGATTGTGAATGAGCTTACGGCGGAAGTATTGGTAAACTAGCATTGCTGCGAGAGCAAAACGGACACAACTCTTAAAAACGGAGCTTCCTCTCCTCAATCGAGAAGTGGCTGCTTCAAGCACATGTTCGATTACGTTATAGGTGGAAGTAGGACCTCAGGTCAGGGCTCACAAAGAGTGGTATTTGGAGAAGTTAAGGATTGCCTAACTGGATGTTGACCCGTACCTTCTCCCCCCAGTCAATTTTATCGATTAAATAAAATGTCTATTTTTGCCCAAATTCACCCTACATGATCTTTATCATTATTGTTAACAATGCATCCCCTTACACTGGAGCATATTTATATGCTGGTAGCATTAGCAATAGTCCACTTTTCTGTGGCTTTTCTGTCTACAGCCAAACATGATACGTACTGACGGAGAGGAAAATAGTGAAACACGCAATTGACTTAAAAGATAAAAATGCTAATGTTGCAGCGCACATACAGGACAGTAGTAAGAGACACGTTTGACGTGTGTCATTGTCCTCCAAATTAATGGAAATAAAATAAATACAAACTTGTGATTGCTTTATCTTGTAAAAAGTGTTCACTGCATATTAGGGAGTACTTGGATGGGTCCCAGTCCTTTTGGTTGATTGCCGCCATCGTCGTCTTCTGTCTTCATGACGAGCAGGTATCAGATAAAAAAGCTTATGTCCTTGCCTGTTAGTATAATCAACCGCACTGCAAAATGTCACAGTTTTGGCTGTAATGCGCTGAAACAGGTTGTTTTGGTCAGGTGTCCGTAGGCTCGCAGTTAGACTTCTGCCGTCTGTCATGGAGAGTGGGCGTGGCCGGGACGTCACATGCAAGGGGTCAATACTACTTTTTGGCATACTTCTGGCTCATACTGTCATGCTTTCTGTTGCT